AACTTTCACGGCGCACCTGGGCGTACTCATAGCGTACTTCAATGCAGATCGCGGTTTGTACGTCCCGGGTTCGTCAGAGCCGTCAGAGCGGACCTCAAGCATACAAATAGTGAACAATTTTTTCGGCTCGGGTGCCACTCGCTTAGAATCAGCTTTAACAAAGATATCAAACCTCTGTTCAAACGCCTCCCAGTTTGCACTAATGTTGCCTTCCCGGAGCTTCACCGGTCCTGGCCTCGATTCATCCGACATGGTAGTCACCACAAATCTCAAGATATTAACTAATTAACTGTCATTTGACAAACACAAGTCAGGAAGAGCCACAGAACACTAACACAACACTTCACTGACGTCCTACCGGCTGCGCCATGTTCTATTCGTAGGTAGGATGAAATGAAGTACACAAGTTGGTGAGGAGTAGTGAGAGAGCTTTATTGTTTTCATGTCATACTTATAGCAGAGGATGTTGAGTGGTGGGGGTGGCACTGCCAATAGGTTGTGCTGTATTTGCAGGTGGCCGTCACCGCCTTGCCAACTAGAACACTAACAATGCCTATCGTCGACTGAAGCTGACCGGTCGCGTTCGAAACAGCAGCGTCTATGCTGCACCTTTTTACACGGTGGCGACTTGTGATTATTCAAACGCGACCACTAAAAGCAGGGAGTATCGACGCCAGGCTTATGTAATTTTTGATAGGGTTGTACAAAGCAACAGGCGATCGTTCCTATTGGTCAAACTTTCCCGCGGAAATTTGTAATTGGCTGAAATTTTCCTGGCTCAACTCGGCCTGCTGCTCAGCTAGTCATTTCCATGGAAACTTATAGATGCAAACTCAAATTTCTCAAAATTTACTAAAAACTACCTCCGTTGTCTTTCACGATTTGGCCGAATCGCATTTTTCTTCCTTGGTTTCGTTTCGAAGGTAAGGGAGGGTGGGGCAGTGTGTAACAGATTTCGGAATTTGGCTGTAAAAGTCAATCCGTGAAAAAGAATTGGGTAAGTAGGGCGCAAAAGAATAGATTGGACCTTTACTAACCATGAAAGTTGCTCGGATGTATCACTAGGCGCATTCTCGTATGACCTACAGCTTGTTGAAAAAAGGTCTGCATTTGTTACACACTGCCCCGGCGCGGGGCAGTGTGTAACAAAGGCTAGGATTGAGCTCTGGAGACGGGTAGAAAGGGAGAAAACAGCTTCCCCTTTCTTTCTATAGTAGCTGCTGATACAACAACAGTTTCTATAAAATTATTTTATTGTTCAAATGACATTTTCTTAAAATTTACGATTTTTCAATTGAAAACAGCAAATTGGTACTTGTTTTGGATACATTTTGTGAACTTGAAATATAAACAAAAAGTTGTGCCTCAGTGAGACTGTTAGGGCACAGGCACATCATTGATAAGCAAATAAGACGATTCGTACTGCCCTAGACTACCCTAGACGTTCATATTACACACTGCCCCAGAGTACACAGCCTGTTATGTGACCTCGTAGACCGAGAACCGTCGAGGTGGTGTTAGTGACAACGACCATTTTACAAGTGCTAAGGTGTCTACTTCGATAGAAAATCATTAGTTCGGGGGTTGTTTGAAACCCAACGACCTCAACCAAAAAGATCATGTCGTAATGTGATGAAAATTGCCTAAAAATCGAGTGAGCTCAACTTGGCCGTCCTCTCACCACCGTTTAAACTCCCCAACCGAGGCGTTCTCGATTGAAAACGACCTTTGTCTTTCAGAACACATAATATGAACATTCACACTTGGTTCCGGACGTCCCATATTCGAAATACGGAGGTCTGTTACACACTGCCCCTGTTACACACTGCCCCACCCTCCCTTATTTAATACTTACAACGGTTGGAATCAATAATTAAATCGACGAGCTACAAGATGTGTACATCGTTATTGTGTTTCATTCTCCAGTTTACCTAAAAACAACTAAGAAAACAGTGTCCCCGAATCTAGACCTCAGCGTGACGGAGTTGACAATAGGTGTATATTTGTAGATTTATCAGGTAAAGGGGTTATGTATGTCATGTGCCGTGAGGAGCGGGATAATGAGAGCAGAGCGACAAGTTGATCTCTAGACTGAACTGACTGTTTATTGCCGGTGACGTAAGATTTATAGTGACAAACAGTTGACAGTAGGAGTGACAAACGGTGATGCCAACGTAACATACATAATACATAACACCTCCCCTTTTTTGAAAGAGAAGTGTAAACTTTTACACTGTTGAACAACGGAATTTAAAATAAATAAAAACCAAACATTCAAGTGAAACGTCTCATGTTAAAATTGACAGTCAATTAAACTCAAAAGGAAAGCAAACTATGGTAGATGAATACAACTGTGGAGAAAATGATCACTCAGGTGTCTGAGCGGAGATTTACGAGAGTTGTTAAATGTAGAACTTGACGCTTGAAAAATTCACAATTCATACTACATGAATTAGAACAAATCTTGACGACAGGTTAAGGCTAAGATTGAACTGATATGATTTAACTGAACTTTAAAACAAACTAAACCTAAACTAACTAGGAGTATCATTGGCAGACCAAATGTAACAGAACACTGACAGAAACTTGACATCTTGCAACATGAATGTTTGTGAGCACACTTTGCGAGGCACTGTCGTGATGCACATCTTGAGGGAATTGTTTTTACTCACAGTTAATTGCTTGCTTGATACGAGCAGTTGCATATGGGATTTGTACTGGTTAGGAAGCCTCCACTCCGTAGACTACGCTAGTGCAGTAGTCCCCAACTTAACTGTGAAAAAATAAAAATAATTCAGTACACACATCACAGGATAGCACACCTAACCTTGTTTGATACATGCAAATGGCACGTTCTGCAACGGACTGCCCCCGGGCCACGATGTCTCTGCTCATCGCGCGCCCACCCACATTGCGCACTGCGGGCTGGTGCAATTGTTGTCCGCATAAGATCCATCCATTTCACAAGTATCATAATGCCCTAGTGGCAGAAAAACAATTTACTCAACTTAGAGATGTTCGGCTCCATCTCAGATGCACAAGGTGTTAGTGTTTTCTTCTCACTCCTTTGACGGCCCACTTCCATGCTGACATCTTGTTGATGGACCATGACCTAGGTTAGGCTTGAGACTTGAAGGATTGGTGGTTCAAACTTCCAGCTTCCTGTGCTTCCTTTATCAACTCCAACGCTGACTCTCGGCATGAGACTGAGTCTCAGAAATACGGACAGATTCACCGGCTGCGCCATGTCATGTACCGTGAGGAGCAGGATAATAGAACAGAGCGACAAGTTGATCTCTAGACTGAACTGACTGTTTATTGGCGGTGACGTACGATTTATAGTGACAAACAGTTGACAGTAGGAGTGACAAACGGTGATGCCAACGTAACATACATAATACATAACAATGTAGAACAAAACTCATGAAAATAACATGAAATTCGATCAATTTGAGGAACAAATTGGCCCCGATCGAGAGTTTGTGTCATCTCATGTTCTTCTCATCACACAAAATATGTTCAGTTTCGGAGCGTATGTTTTTGTGGGGAACCTCTTCTAACAAAGATTTTTTCAATACCTAGCCGTATACAGGACGTGTTTAGGCTAACAATGATGTAGAATCATCTGTTCTATCTAAAGAACATCCGTGTTACCGATTTTCTGCTTTCTTTTGTGTTATTAAAGTGATTTATCTGGTGTACGGTGTGACGGAGTTGACGTCAACTCCGTCATGCTCGTCGAAAGTTTTATGAAATTGCACATTTAAACGTTATTTTGGTCCAGATAATTAAAGGAAGTAGTACTGCTACCTTTTTATACATACTCTCTCTATTTTCCTACTAAAATATTGCATATACATCGTATAATGTGTGAACGAGAGTGCCGCCCTCTAACCTCAAAACCGGAGTCACCCTGACCAGGTTACAAACCAAAGTAGCAATACATATAAAAATAAAATTCGTCATCGATGGTTTCTATTGCTTCCTGTTCCATAGCGCCACGTCTTGTCAGTTGGCCGATGACCCAAAAGTGATATTTTAGGAAATATTTTTGGAGCTTCCCCGGCCAACTCAAAACCTTTTGAGCACTACGTATTTTTAAAACTTCTAAAACAATACTTGGGTAGGTCCTGGAGGGTCCCCTGTCTAGGGGTCCCCCCTGAGGGGTAACTCGTCAAAGTAGATCCTTTGAGCGAACATTTCGTCCGTTTTGCTCTATCTCAAACCGTTTAGGCGCTACAGGGTCTTTTTTGACGAAAATAAGCAAAAAGTTGCCATAAGGAACAATAAGTTGTAGTAAAAGGCCTAAAAACCGCAAAATTGAAAGGAAACTCTCCCCCCACCCCCAAAAAACGTTTTCCAAGCAGAAGGGTGGGTTGTAGTCACGGTGCTTCACCGTTACATCCCTTTCTCGAGTCTTTGGGGCAAACTCAAAGACGACGGGTTTCCGCTACATCATTCGATCATGTTCTTCAGAAAATAGTGTGACAGAAATGGTCGGGCCGCGGGCCCGACCATCGCCGCCGCCAAACGAAGTTGTCAGCTCCGCTTCGCTCCGCCGGCAACTCCGTTCGGCAGGGGCCGGGCCTGCTTGTTAAAATTAATCAAACCAAATGTAGTGACTCAAAGCCTCTTTTAGCTTTTAGCTATTAAATATTTTGCAATATTTAAAGAACCCCCGCTTTTTCTTAAATTAATTTGTTATAATCTCTTTGGCATAACAGTTTGGTTCTTCTTTTGGAACATTCCATCATGATTCT